TGCTAATGGTGATGTCGTCGTAGCCAATCCTTGCCGCTGGAACAATGATTTTGGCAAATATCCGAACCGCGTAGATGACCAGGGCTACGGCGCCGCCTCCTGCTCCAAATCCAGAGATGAGACTGCTTCGGTCACGGACTGGGGCACCGCAGGCCGTCAAGGAGACATTCTTGGTGGCTTTTCAATTGTCAGCGTGCGGTGTGCCATTGGGTACTCGGTTTGCGTACTTAGTTGTTCTTTAATCGTACAGTTCATGGCAACGCAGATCGTGATGGTCTCTGCCAGTTGCTGGTTCGTGCAGATGCATGCTTGGTCAGTGGCCGAGCAGTTTGACTGAGCAATTCCCGCCAGAGTACAGTCAAGCTGGACGTGTCAGCACCGACAGGACCAGGGAGGCGGTGTACTTACACCACATTTGGGATAAAGGGCTGCTGCAGATTCCAGGTCGGCTCTGACAACAGCCAGCAAGGTGGCGGTGATTAGGAAGAATATGGCCGTGAACGATCTCATTGTCATAAAGTGGTGGTCATAAAGTGATGTCTCGAGCGTAAACAGTGTCTTCTTTCAGGCGTGAGAAGACTGACGAGAGAATAATAACAGTGCAGGCATGATATGACTCGACTGTTAAGAGGTTGAGGGGTTGTTTAACCCCAGGGGGAACTGGTTGACTCTCCTCGAAGTCTTCCGCTCTTGTTCGCTCTGAGTCCAGTCTCGAGCAGATCCAGGAGTACTAGCAATGTGGTTCCTCGAGCTATGGAGAGCCCACCAGGGAGATACAAGAGTAGGACATTGAAGAAATGGTCGTCGTTGAAGCGGTGGAGAACCGGAGTGACAGTGAAATATGCGGTCCACCACTTTGGAAAGTTCGAGTATAGAACAAACGCACAGATACCAAAGTAGTGAGAGTATCTGGGGAAGATCAACAGTCAGAATAGAGCAGGGAGGACGTATCTGTGACTAGGATGGAATACATGGGCAACACTTGGGCCTCGTGGGCTCTTCCCCGTTGTTAGACCTTTTCGAGATCTGCACGCTGGGCCTTGACTCTGCAATCAAAACGAGACCCAGGTAAGATGGCACGGGTGGGTATAACATTCTATGTGTTCTATCGCAAATCCCGAGCATCCTGGGCTGGTGATCTACACACACAACACATAAGACGAGATGAGTCCCGGGGGTCCAAAGTCACCTCTTGGTATATTCCTTTACTAACAAGAACCCAGCTTTCGAGGATCTTCCTTGTCGACCAAAGCCCAATCCCGACTCCACTTTCAGCCCCTGGTTAATCCCGTTAAAAACTCGACGACTCGTCGTACTAGGATATGCCTGCATCCGCGAGGCAGAGCGGATGAATTCCCCAGCCTCGCGGGTCGCCTCCTTTCCCCGCTTCCCACATTCTGGATGCCCAGGACCTTGGAACCAGTCAAGCATTAGTAGGGATCTGCCTTGCAAGACGAGTTCTGAGTGCTTAGTGCGCAGTGCTTGTAGGTAGGCTAAGCTTCCTTCTCTAAGGACTGAGATCATTACGAGTACGAACAGCATGTGGTCTATCCGTACCCAAGCAGGAGAGAAGTATTCGATCCTTCTGACGAGTCATGGCACTGTTCAGGGTCCAGGGGCTGAAAGTAGGATGCTTGGAGGGGATTTTGTCTCTGAATATCTCAATCGTTGGTAGAGCGACGTCGCCATGGGTCACATACATATACCAACAGAAATCCACAATCAATCAAGGCTTGTACCGAATCCCGAATACATCCACTACGAGTAAACTTCTTCCGCCTGTCTACTCGTATGGAGTACTCAGTACAGTATGTACCCAATGACTTCCCAGGGGCCCAAGTTCAGACTCGTCCATTGACCAACATCAAGAGTGCTGCATCCCCGACAAACGGTGTCTACCTGACCCACCAGCTGAGCCGTTAAGGAACGTGGAGACGGATCCATGCATTCGCCACAGTCCACGAATAGTTGGGGCCTGGCTAGTGACCATGGTGGCACGATAGTATGCATTTTTGGCCCCTTTTTCCCACATTCTCGATCCCACAATAGGAACCAGTCGATAACAAATCCGGCGTCGCAATACCTGCAAAGAGTCAGCCTCCCCCCGGTAGTCTGTACGCATCCGGAGTCTGAACTCCTCCAGGAAGCTTGTCACGCTTGTCTCCCAACCCACTTCTGACCTCGCTGGCCTCTTTTCCATTGACGATCGTCCGTGCTCCGCGAAATGACGCGACAGTATGGATCTACATCCCAATCAGAATCAGAGTCAGTCGTGCAAATGTCGATCTTCAACGGGCTTCGACCACAAACTCGTCGACATAGAATAATGTCTTTGATCGGTTGAACATCACCCTCGCCCTCTGTTCAGTCCAGCAGCATTTGGCAATACTCACCTCAGTCACTCTTTTGATACATCTGCGAGCCATCTCGGTGGTGCTGTCATTCGTTTCTTTCTTCTTCTTGGTTGGTGGAGATGAAGTTGTTGCTATCAGCTTGTACGGCACTGCTGGAGATCTGTGTGCCTTGCCTGGCGTTTCCCACGGCTTCCAATGTTGCACTTCTCGCCAGAGCAGGAGGTATTGATATCTCGGAGGACTTGACATTCGAGGACATTGTGCGCCAAGTACAGCATCAACGAGAGAAGAGACTCCTGGTCAACCCCCTAGATGCCCCGATTCAAGGTAACATAAGACAACTCGAGTCAGCTGGACTGCCTCGTGAGAATATGGACTGACACTCCAACAAGTCGACGGCGAACATGAATGGCAGGCGCCGAGCTCGAGCGCGCAGAGGGGACCCTGTCCTGGGCTCAATGCGTTGGCTAATCATGGCTATATCGATCGGTCTGGAATTGCAAAAGTAGGTCATTCCCCAGGAATATGGTTGTTGTAGGTCTGATGCCGTGGATGTTAGTTTCCCGATATTATAGGCGCCACAAACGAGAGTGAGTCGTTCGCCAAGTTATCGCCACAGCAAAGGTGTTGACGATGAAACAAGTATACGGAATGGGCGTCGGACTCTCGACCATTCTCGCCGTCTTCGGTACGACCTCACATTCATTCCACACGCAGAGGTATCGGCTAAGTCTTCACAGGCACCGTCTGGACCGGTAACCCACTCTCCTTGAGTCCAGGTTTCTCTATCGATACAGCATCTCCGCAGACTCAGAATCTCCTCGGAAATCTGCTGGGTCTCCTCGGTGAACCACAGGGGATCGGACGGTCGCACAACCTGATCGAGACAGACGCTTCGATGACTCGCAACGATCTCTATGTCACCGGTGACGCTTCCACCATGGACATGGGTCGATTTCTTCAACTTTACAACCGTGCCGGCAACGATACAGACGTTATCTCGACGGAAAATGTGATGCAGCACTCCATCGACATGCTCAACGAGTGCATCTCCACTAACCCGTATTGCTGGTATGGACCCTGGACGGGCGCCATTGTTCGTAATGCTGGGCCGGCTCTTGCTCTTCGCTTGCTTTCGAATCACTCGGCAGAAAACCCGGGAGGTGTCATGAGTAAGTAATCAGACCGCGGCTTGTTCGAGGGCACTGTTGACTGTTGGGCCAGCCAAACAGGTGTTGAAGTCTTTCTGGGGCGTGGTCGACAACGACGACGGTTCGCTCCAGTACAAGCGCGGATGGGAACGCATCCCCAACAACTGGTATAAAGCCCCCGTCGACTACGACGTGGTGCAGCTCAACCTGGACCTGGTGGACGCGTTCGTCAAGTATCCCCAGCTCGCGTCGATCGGCGGGAACACCGGCACCGTCAACTCCTTCACGCCGCTGGACATCAGCGACCTGACCGGCGGCGTGCTGAACGCCGAAACGCTGCTGCAGGGGAACAACCTGCTCTGCTTCGCGCTGCAGATCGTCGACACCGTCTCGCCAGACTCGCTGTCCCCACTGTACTCGACCCTGGCGGTGCCCTTGAAACTGCTCACGGATGCGCTTGGCTCGGCTCTGGATCCTCTGACGTGTCCGCCCCTGGGTGATCTGACATATGGGGGCCAGCCGATCTGGGAGTCGCTGACAAAGATATTTGCGGGCCCTGGCCGTGCCGGAGCTCCTCTCTGAGGGAGAGACCCAGGCATGAAAGCTGTGCTGCCAGGAGAAGAGGAGGGGGGGGGGGGACGGGAGAAATGTTACTGTGAACCGATGCCGACCATAATAAATTCAGCCTCGCGGTGCGTCGAACTCGGTCTTTTCACAAATCCCCAGATATCGTTGCTGCATAGCGTTTTCGGGTCTCCCATTCTTCTTGATCTGAATGACCGTGAAACTTCTGAAATGCACACCATCCGTATTTCCTTCACAGATTGCGACCTGAACGCGGATGTGGAAATCTCCGGTGGTTGTTTCAACATGTCCCATCTCATCCCATTCCATCCCGTAGGATTCTAGCAGACCGACCAAGACGTGCGGAACCGGGAAATAACTGTCAGTCTTTACGGAGCTGCGACGCATATTCTGTACGAGTCTGTAGGTAGGTACGAGCACGAGTAGGTGGCGAGGTGGCTAGAGGAGACGCGAATGCTTCCTTCGCGCGGCACCAGCGCGATGACGTACGAGTATGGTGGTTGTTCGATCCCCCTGGAGGATGTACTGCACAGTAAGCGGCATGCTCGTACTGGCACATAGAAGTAATAACTCGGGTTTATCATACTTGTATGACACTCATGAGTCACGCCTGGTGGTTCTCAAACGGTTCCAGCTGGTCTGAACACTACAAAAATGATGATAGTGGGCAATGGCTAAACAAAGCCGAGACTCCTACTTTCATATTATTTGATCCAGGGAAGAAGAAGACTTTGCGGGTGGATTTTGTAGCTGTGTCTATGATAGCTTTCAGGCCTAGCAGTACCACGCAGAAATCTCAAGCCCTATGCCGTTATGGACAGGTCGGAGTCTTGATGTCTCAGCGGGGCCATGTCACAAACCAAAGGTGCGCCGGTATCAGCACTCGAAAACAGGTCCTCGAGAGTTGACCTCACCTGGACACCAAGCTCTCAATGCTGATCCTCCTCTCTCTCTGTGGAGTAGCACTCGGACGCAGAGGATCGAGATGGCCGAACCAAGTATCCCATCGCTCCCAATCTATGGCATCGTCATTGGGAGTGCCAAGCGCGTAATCCTGGGCCAAAATGGCGTCGGTATACTGGCTGAGCATATCTCCAGCACCGTCTGTGGAACTTGTCTTTCCCTCGTCTCGAGCGTCGGTTCCGAGCCAGAACGCATCATCGTCACCCCGGGCGTGTCCTTCAAAGGCACTGACCTGCCTATTGGGAAGCAGGTTTTGCTGCGACTGGGACACGAATGGGGTGTCTTTGGACGCAGAATCCATGTCTGGTGGTGTTGGGTTGTCATCGGTCATGCTCGATTGTGGGCGGCTCAATGGCACTCGCGCCCAAGTTTTCATGGCAGCTTCTTCTCTCCTTGCTTTGGCGGCCTGTCGCTGATCGCGCAGCCTTGTTATGTATTCCGGCGGAGGAGGTACAAACCCTTTCTGTCTCTTCAAAGCGTCCTCTCGAGCGGCAAAGGCTTTCAGACAGAGATTTCCCACCGCTGCGACGATGGGTCTGTCGATGCTCAACAAAATCCCGAGATTGTTCTCAAACAAGGTGTCGATGAGGAACCAGGCACTTTGAGAGTCTACGTGAAGGGGCTCTGTTCGGAGTGTGTCCAAGACATGGATAACAGCGTGCCATTGAATGAAGTAGGGTACGTGCCACGCAAAGCGCCGCAGATGAGGGTCGGTCTGCATCATGTTATACTGCTCCAGCAGTCGAACGACAGTGTCCCAGACAAAGCGCCGCTCCGATGCTGGGACACTGTCTTGGTAGGCCCATCGGCGCGGATGATGAGCCATAAAGCGGACAAGGTTTGTTGCTGTCCGGCCACCGACTAAGGCCATGAGTTGTAGGGGTTGAGATGGATCGCAAAACCGCAGGTGCTTGGTCTCCAATATATCTTCTACTCCCTTGATGAAGTCGTCCTTGCGCTCCAAGTCGTCGATGGCGGGATACTCGTCCGATGTAAACGCGACTTTGCGGAGTTTGGCCATCTTGGCTGTTTGTCCGGCAGCAAAGGTGGCCATGGTGGACCTGACCATACACCATATCATCTCAGTCGGTTTCGTTGACTCGACAGGCGCCTGCGACATTGTGGGATTCAGATCGCTGTCATCGACATTCGCGGGCATCTTAGGGGTGGTGTCGTTGACTTCAAAGTCTCGAAACTTGGCCTGGCCACTTAGCTCTGCTGCGCGGAAGTCGTGCGTCCTGAGCTGCCACCATATGCGTCGACGGATTTCAGTTTCAAAGGGTGGTAACCCAAGTAGTGTGCCATCGAGACTCAATCCCATTCCTTCTGCAACACGAAGGGCAACTCCTGTGAGGCTCCACACCGCGCGCGGTTCGTGGTCGTCTCGGATCGAGAGAAGGTGAAGGACCAGTGCCTGTAATACCACAATGCTCGTGCTGCTCATGAACTTTGCACGAAACAAGGCCCTTTTCGTAGCCTCCGCGTAACAGGAACGCAAGGCTGCCCGGCTTTCGCCCAATATCTCACTGCATTCAGCTTCCGTAAGAGACAAGGTAGCAATGCTATAGATGGCAAACATGAGGGCTTCGAAGCCTTTTGGAATGTGGTCGATATTGTTAGCTGCCTTCTCTATCGCAAACTGCAAGCTAGGCACATGGACTATCTTCGTCAGAGGATTGACGTTTCTGACGAAAATTCGCCATAACTTATCAATGTGCTGGGGAGATGGGTGTGAAGATACAATAGCCGGTGCATTGCAGCCCAGGACATAAGAAAAATCGTCTTGTGGCGACTGGCCTCCACAGGAACCATCAATTAAATCATCTTCAAGTTCGTGTTCTGTTTCCTGGATCTGACTCTCCTGTAAGTCTCTGTAAATAGGCCAAGGCAAGCGAGTCTGCAACGCCCACAAAATCCCATCCCCACGTACCTCTTGTGCCACTCGCGACCACAAGCTGCTATGGGACTCTCAGCCTCGTGCATGGACTCGTAAACTGGAGTTTGTTGCTTACTTGTGCACAAGTTTCGTGCCCCCTTGCTCATGCAATAGCTCGGGCTCGAAAAGTGTTCTTTGTCCTGCGGAAACGGTAAATCCTGGTGTTGTGAGCTGCCCATTGGTCCGAGATACATCCGAGCCACTGGCCGTAGAAGGCTCCTCGCATAGAGAGGGGACGGTGACGTCAACCTGGTTAACGCCGATGCCTTTCTCTCGAAGCAACGCTTTATATTCCCTCATCAAGGCATTAAACTCGTGGACGTTTACCCATTTCCGTGTCGTTTTGAGGGGTTTTGTTCTCGGTGGGGGGAAAATGCACTGCACATTATGTCTGATGCATGTACTACATGGGATTTGCTTATCACATCTGACTTTTCGGTCTGAACATTGGATGCAAGCTGCGGAGCTCGGTCTTGTTGACGGTGTCCTGATTGAAGGATCTGGGGGATTCATTGTCAGTGAATGTAGAAGCGACTGAGAACGAAGCCGCAGTGGATTTGATCACAAGCGAGAGAATATTTCCACGTACCTTGCAAATGGCAATAGACCTTCGTTTCACCAGGAAGATGATTCATGGTGCAGGAAGAAGAATTCCGGGAAAAACACAACGATGAATCATGATTTGGACAATCGGGAAGGTGGGTCCATGAGCTTACTTTCGATTGGTGAACTCGATGACCATGTGGGTCTCGGGGAAACGTGTCGTTGAATCCCCGAGTCCCCAGACTTGCGGCGCCCGAAACGACGTTGATTCTCCCCGAGGAATGCAACTTCTTTTCCTCCCGCTGTGTCTATAACAATTTCAACGACCACGGGGCCGAAGCCAAAGTGTGCGCACCACAGACAGCAAAGGTATAAAGAAGCCATGGCATCTCCTAACATAATGTCCAATACTTCACCCAGACTCGTTCTTCCGCACCACTTCTTCCACTACAGAGACACCACCTGACCATGAGCGAGCTTTACGACGTTGTCATCGCCGGTGCAGGTCCAATCGGTCTCTTCCTAGCCTGCGAACTAGCTCTGGCTGGCACCTCGGTGCTGGTCCTCGAGCGTGATCCTGGCCCTCATTCACCATGGAAGGGTGAGCCTCTGGGCTTGCGTGGCATGAACACGCTTTCACTCGAAAGCTTCCATCGCCGAGGACTCCTCAGCCGTCTTTGTGGACCCAAGGAGCGGCCCTTGTCTTACCAGAAAACCGGAGGCTTCCAGTTCGGCGGCCACTTTGCTGGTATCTCGCTTAACGCCAACAAGTGGGATATGGCTCGGTGGAAATATCACCTTCCCGGACCGACCTTGGTGCCCAGTCCCACGACCATCGAGCGTGTCGAGACCGTACTGCTGGAGCGTGCTGCGCAATTGAATGTGACCATCCTAAGGGATCATGGCGTTACGAGGATTGTGTCCGAGGACAACGCCACAGTCACCGTGGCAGCTGGAAAAGACCAGATCTTTCGTGGCAAGTGGCTCGTGGGATGCGATGGCGGACGCAGCGTGGTTCGCAAGTTGGCCGGGTTCGACTTTGTTGGGACGGAACCCAAATTCACAGGCTACGTGGTTCAGTGCGAGTGGGATCACCCAGAGAGGCTGAAATCGGGATTCCACATTGCAAAGGCCGGATTGTACATCATCAGGGCGCCCGACACTCTGTATATGACGGATTTTGACGGTGGCGCTTTCGAACGCACAGAAGAAGTGGGACAAGAGCACATCCAGAGCGTCTTCGAGCGCGTTTCAGGAATCACAGATGTCAAAATCACAAAGGTCCATCTGGCCTCCACATTTACCGACCGTTGCAAACAAGCCACAAGCTATCGCAAAGGGCGTATCCTCCTAGCAGGTGATGCAGCTCACATCCACGGGCCCCTTGGTGGGCAAGGCATGAACCTGGGGCTGGGCGACGCGGTGAACCTAGGCTGGAAGCTGGCTTCGACGATACGACGAGAATCCCGCTCTGACGGCACTCCAGAAAACCTAGCACTGCTCGACACGTATAAAAGCGAGCGTCACCCTGTTGGAATGCGCGTGCTTGAGTGGACGCGCGCTCAAGCTGTCGTGCTGCAGCCTGATCCCCATGGCCAAGCCGTTCAGGGAATCATTCGCGACCTCATCGACACCACCGACGGGACCAACTTCTTCATGGGGCGCTTCTCGGGCATTTCACAACGGTACAAACTCAGCGATGGCGAGGCTTACGCACACCCGCTCATTGGCTGCAGCGCCCCGGACTTTGAGCTGGTCGACGGCTCAAGATTCGGATCAAAGCTAGAAGACGGCAGGGGAGCCTTGATCGATTTTGAGGATGAAGGGGCATTCAAGAATTTGCTTGTCAATGGAAAATATGACGCTCGAGTATCGTACATGGGTACAAAGGCACAAGATACGCGCGGACTACGCGCCTTGTTGGTCCGACCCGATGGGATTGTTGCTTGGGCTGTTGACGAGCATGAGAACCCAGATATGGACGTCGTCAAGACTGCTCTGGAGCGCTGGTTCGAGTACTAACTTTCAAGCGACCGATAGATCTCCATATATACGATATCAGGAACACTAATCAGCATCCACGACCCTGGTATAGAGCTTTCCGTTGGTTTTTGAGACTTCAGACATTCATTCCATTTACCATTATTCTCTGTTACTCTGCAAAGAACCCACAAACAATGTCACAAACAGCATTATGGGCCCCTGGATAGATCTCCCACTGTGATAGAAATGAGAATGATTATCACCTCTATTCACGACCTTGTGTTTTCAACTCTTCCACATCCCTGATACTGGAGTAGTCAACTCCCTGATTCTGTGAAACTTTAGTACGAGGGGGCGTTCCTTATCTTCTCCCCAGAAAGGTCATATTACCTAAAATATCCAGACACCTCTGACTAAAAAGAGCCAACAACATACGCCATGGCATTACGTGTCTCGACTAGCCAAGCTTCCAACATAGTGGTAAATGACAAGGTTCGAGTGTCATCCACCATTATCATGTACCCGTCCAGTATCGAGCCATCGAAACCCGACAAAATGCCTTGCAACGATCCTGCCGGAGCTCTTTCTCTGGGTCTCGACTTTTCATCTGCGAACTCTATCTGAAATCCACATCTCACGTCAAGATTTATCCGCAAACATATCTTCAGTACAGTCACAATTGTCAGAGGTCTTGTCGGTCTTATTAGACATCGAAGCCATAAGTTATTCTAGGCAACGTGAATCCATGTTCGCACAAGCAACAGAATATCAGATCGTTCGTTCCTCAACGGGCTCCACTGGAAATCTTGCCGGTTCGGAATATGTTGGCAAAGTGTAGCGCTCCTACCACCAGACCATCATGAGTCAGTAACAGGCAGTCTTTACCGATGCAAGCTTCACACAGCAACCGAGGCCAAGAGGCAAATCAAAGAGATACCGATGCGTTGGTAAGTTCCAAAATCTACTTTGCCGATCCACAGATCTAGACTTTGGTTGAAAACCTTCCGACCCATATAACGCTCGTCCACTGCAACCTGCGTGAGCCACAAATGGTCGAACCGGAGAATTCACACGTAGAGGCATGTCACTTTCTCTTGGTGACGCCGAGGTCCTCATGGCTCTGTTGTGGGAGTGGTTGGCCGTGTACGCTCTTCGCCGACGACCCACGGGAATGTCACTGCCACGCATGGCACAGACCCTTCACTCGCTACGCGAGATGTCCAGTGACACTACGAACTCGGTGCCTTTGCTAAACTATGGGGTCGGTATGTTCAAACGTGCTCTGTGTTTGCCACTTGTATAAAAAATACTATTTAGTCACTCTGGGGCCTGGTGTTCACTGAGTCGACTGTGATGTTTTCCCATCACTGGATGGTGAAGATTCGTCGCCTCGTTTTAGTTGCCAGCCTCGTTGGTGACTCGATGGCACCTCTGCTCTGAGACAATGACACCAAGAACACCCAGAAAGCATCGATCATATCCTCACCAACGTCCGATCAGATGTACCCACCCCCAGTGCGGCAAGTACGGCCACACCACGAGCCAGTGCTGGGTCGCCCACCCGAAACTCCGACCCTATGGTGCGACTAATCGAGGTAGTTGTGGGCTCGGTCGAGGATGGGACGATCTTCCCAGTGAACCGAACGACGTTGCATATGGTACTCCGAGCTGGGACCACGACTGGTCTGGTGACAGGAGTGCATCCTCCCCACGCTCCCAGTCCCCCTTATATGTCCCATTCCCGTTCCTCAAATTGCCCCAGGAACTCCAGGACAAGGTCTACGAGTTCGTTTACGAGGAACGGCACGGTGTGGTGGTCTTTATGAGTCCGCGTTTGGAAACGTTTGAAGGAGTACAATATTATGAGCCGGGCCGACGTCTGAAATAGTGGTACAGGGCCACGACTACGGCGGTCTCGGACTCGTCTGCAAAAAGATGCGCGCAGATTCCCGACAGGCGCAAAGACGGTCATTTAACGGTCGGATGAGGGTCGTCTGGGACGAGGAGAACTATGATCGCGCGTTCTCCAAGATCTGCGCACCGACCTGGTCGTCGCTGAGATATCGGATCACAGAGCTCGATATCAGCGGCCTGTCGGGTCGGACTGTGGATAGCGGGTTCGACACGGTCCGCAGGATGATCCTGATGTATTTCCCGTGCCTCAGGCAGATCAACATCTGCTACAACGCGTACCGGTACAAGTTCGTGGAGCGAGACAACCCATACCTCCTGACGCCCGAGTGGCTGAGAGTCAACGAGGAGACATACCCGAATGCATTTGCCGCGGGTGAAATGGATAACGAGTTCGCATACCCCGCCGACGTGTTGGGTGTTTACGAGCTGGTGCGCTTGACGCAGCTGGCTCCGCAGCCCTGTAACATCTTCCTGACGACCAACGTGAGATGGCTGAATGGTCGAGGATGCCGCGAGTTGTCGCAGGTGAGTTGCCCCCATTGCCATCTCAGTGGTGGTGCAGGCACTAAAGGCATTCTGTGTTCACAGCACGTCAAGTTCCTCGTCACGGCGAATCAGCTGGAAGCTGTCGAGAGAGGTTCTGCTATTGGTATATGAGACCTCAGCCGAGAAGTCTTGTGGTGGACTGTTTAGAGCATTCTGAAAATGATTCCTGTCTAACGGAGCACAGTGTTGCAAGTCTAATTGCGATATAAGGAAATTTCAAAGGGATTATACAGAGTACTGTCAAGAGCAGACAGGAAAAAGAGACAGAAAATGGTGGGCCATAGAGTTCGCAATTTGATAGAGATCGTGGCCTTCCTGGCACAGGGAGGACGGGGTCTTGTCAACCGCATCTACAGTAAGCAATCTGATAGGCTAAGAGGGCCTGTCCTCTCAATAAGAATCTTAGATAGTATATAGTTGGCCACTACTGAGTATCAGTAACGGCTTTGCCGATCAAGCGTTAATTTCTCGAGAAGTAAAGTTCTTTCTCGCACACAGGAAACCCTACATATCTTGAACTAATGCAAAACGGTACTGCTACTGGAAAGCTATCCTCATCACATCTCCACAGACCCTCATAGAGCGCGGTCATCCTCTCGATCACGCCATGTCCAGCCTCTCCATACCGAACCTCCAAGTTGGAGACCAAGATAAGATCCAAGGGGCTAGGTAGTGTAGTAGCTACTACTACCAAGATACTAGATTCGTGCGTCTTTTGCGTCCGGACTATCATCGCATCATCCCGCCCTGTGTTCTCTCTCTCTCTCTCTCTTTCTCTGTGTGTGTGTATGTGTGTGTTATCGATCTTTTACGCACTCTTGACGGCGACGTGGTCGACGTGATGCGCGGCCTTTTCGTGGTCATGCTCGTGCTCGTGCAGGACTTCGCTGACATGGTGGCCAGCCTCTTCGAGTGTCTCGGCGACCTGTGATACAACGAACCTGGTATTAGCTTTGTTGTATGGTCATCGCCTTGGGACGATTCCCTTGCATATATAGGGAGAGAGAGAGAGAGAGAGAGAGAGAGAGAGAGAGAGAGAGAGAGAGAGAGAAGGAAGAGAGGAGAGAAAGAGGGTTGTTGATACATACCTTATCGCCACAACTGGCAATGATCTCCTCCAACGTCTTATTCTTGGTCTCCGGGTAGAAGAGGATGAAGAGGCCGATGAAGATGACGTCGCAGATGACAAAGAGCATAAAGTACACCCAGATGATCGGCTGTTTATTATACACATACACGATCCCACGAGTATCGGCATA